AGGTGCGCCCGTCAATCTCTTGGACATCGTTGTCCACCTCTTCAGCATGCGCCCCCCACTCTGGATCGACCCCCCCCTCGCCTCGCGACCCCCCCGCTGCATCGCGCCCCGCGACATCACCCAAATCCCCGGCGGCCCACCCTACAGTCCATTCTCGTGCTTGATCCGCGCCGAGGATTACGATGAGCATCGTCTTTCTCTCCCTCCAGCCACGCCGTCCCCCGAAACAGGTTATTCGCCTTGGACCCGTCCCCCAGGTCGCCTTGCCCCTAGTCTGAATCGAGCAGCTGCAGAGTGATGCCGCGCTCAGGATGCCACTCTCAATCGATCTCCCAGTCGAGGGCAGGACTGTCACCCGGAGGGTCCGTTCCCTCCGGGTTGTTGATCAGCTTCCACAGATGCCCCAGTCCCTTAATGCACCACCGCACTGCGTCTTAAAGCACCGGGAGTAGCGACGAGGCAGAGCGCAATGTCTCGGATAGACCGCAACTCCCACAAGAGCTCTTGGAAGGCGCGGGGTCGGCAGAAGTAGGGGGGGCCGGTGGCAACCACCCAGGGATGGGCAGATACTTCCCCGCTGGTCTTATCGGCCGCAATCTCGACGGTGGCCGCGCTGAACTCCGCAATGAGCTCCGTGGAGACTGCTGCAATAGCCTCCACCGTCCTAATGACTTGGACGATGTGAGCGATAGCAGGACTGCAAGTGGGACCGATAACAGGCTCATGATTCAAAGAAGTCAGGGTTTAATCAAAACCTGATTTTGCTGACAACACATCATGTGCTACCACGTGGCAAGGAACTAGACGGTTTGAAAAAACAAAGAGCTTTAGAGCTCGGCCGACCACCCGATTCTGTCCACCTTAATCACTCCCTGGTCCCTCCAATCCTTTATAAAGACAGAGGAATGTTGGAAACAGAAGCAAAACGTGTGAAGGACCCTAACAGAAATTCCGTGAAAACTACCAAATTCCAGCCTCCTCGGACCTTTCTCTGTTCTGTGTATTATTGAGGTACACATCCTTCCTCGACCTATTTCTGTAATAGCCCTTGTTCTGGCACATTGAATGAACAATGCCCAAATGAATCCGGCCAACTCACCCCTAACTGTGAAGCGCTCCCACTCAGGCTGCAATGCTTTTCGTTGCCATGAGTTCCCTTTCAAGGAAGGATGCGGGTCCGCTCTTCCTCCTCTTGTTTCTAGCCATCGCGGCAAAGAAAAGGGGAAGCAACTTAGAGCTCCAGACCAGTTCTTTTAAAGACGAATCCTTTTGCCTGACAACAAGTGCTTTCAGAAAAGCCCCAACAAGCTCTGACATTTCAAATTCCCTGAGGTAACTGCCACGCCAAAGACATTCACCTTGCATTAAGGCTTTTGGGTGTCTGCTTCCCAGCGGAAGTCGGAATTTGTGCTCGACAGCCACTCGCAAATTGAAACTCTGGGTAGGCGGTTGCTTCCGTCAAAGGCACAGAAATACCTTTTCCACCGCTATTCATTACACCTGACAAGAAAATGCACAGGCTGAAGCACCAGAGCGTCCCCTTCTGCATTGACCCCTTGTAAAGAACACCATTTGAAAGCATGTGTTGCCACCCACCTCACACACGCGCAAGCACAAGTTGAGCACTTGCTATCGGTTGCTGACGATGCAATCTGAGCTGCACCGCAAGTTGGCAAGTGCTTTAGAAGCTGGTAACACGCAAGTTTGAGGAATGCATCACTCTTTACTTCTTCGCTTCCGCACCCTTTGAGACAGACAGCACCCTTGGTAAAGAGCAACGCAAAAAGGGCAGCACTCGTTTGTTTATCCCAGAAGCCAATGGCGAAAGCGCCCACCGGTTTTGACCAAAGTGCTTTCAAATGGTAGGTGCTTGATAAACAAGTCTGTGCTCGCAAGAACCTTTGCCCCCCCAGCCTTTTCCTAGGATGCCGGTATGCACCCGCAATTAACTGCACCTGACCAAACATGAAACTTCAAACCCTAAACTGCTGGAGCACCAGAGAAACTAGGACAAACCCCCTGATCCTGCAGAAGATTGTCTCCTCCATGCAAAAATGCACAAACAACCATTCAAAAGAAGACACTTTGTAGCTCGGAAAGCGAAGGGGATCTACGTGGTCGACCGGGCGTAGACAGACAAGTATTTCCTCTTCAGTGTTTCCGCCAGAGACGGCGGAACTGTGGCAACCCGTGTGGGACACGCAGCGTATAAAATCTGGCAAAGATGGTGCAAGGAAACCTTGTGGAGGGTGTCGAAGTAAGGCCGAGTGCGTCAAAACCACGGTGTGTGAGCCCAGCATCATGAAAGAGCAAACGCGGCAACCCTTTCTAGAGTCGGAGTCATGAGCTTGGAGCCTTTTCAGCTAGTCCACAGGGACGTTCGCAGCCCGATGCCGGTTGCCCAAATGAAAGCAACCCGTACTTTGCCACGTTTTTGGACGACTACAGCAAGCTCTTTGTCGTAATTCCCATGAAGCAAAAGGGCGAGGTGCCCAAGGTGACTGAGCACGTGATCAACCGATTTGAGTTGCAATCGGGGAAGAAGCTCAGATCGGTGCGGACGGATCGGGGGAAGGATTACGTCCTTTGCCCCTTAAGGACGCCTTCGGGGGCAAAGGGACGGAAGACGAGAAAACCGCCTCCCACACGGCCGAGCAAAACGGGACGGCAGAGCGACTCAATCAGCAGTTGGAGGAGAAGGTCAGAGCGATGCTCGAGGACTCAGGGTCAAAGAGTTGTGGGCGGAGGCCACAGTGACGGCCAACTATACTCGGAATCGGACCCTTCTGAGCGCGCACGGGATGACCCCGTGGGAAGCGTCCTACGGCACGAAGCCGAAAGTGGGGCACATACGGATGTTGGGTCAAGGGCGATTGCGCACGTTCCAAAGCAACGGAGACGGAAGTTGGATCCGGTCAGCGAGCGAGGAGTGTTCGTGGGGTATGAGCCGGACTCCAAGGCGTACCGGGTGCTTCGGAAGTGACGAGAAGCTCATCATCCGCCGGGACGTCATTTTGACGAGGGAGCGAACGAAGAAGGGGTTGTCAAACTTAGCTCTGAACTCAAGGAGGATTCGCACACGGCGGAAAAAGATAGCGCACAAGATCTGGTAGTGGTCAAAAAGGGTTCCTATCGGATTTGGCGCGCATGAACCCTCTGAGCAAGTTAGCACGCCAAATCCAAGAACCAGCCAATTCGGAGCGGTTTCGGAACTTGAGCGCCAAGCTGAGGCAGAGCCGAAAGAGATGGATGTGGACCTAGGGACTCAACCACCGGCTGCCCAAAGGTACCCACCAGCGCTAGGCGGGCATCGGAGGAGTGGTACTGCTCCAACTTGGTGGCTTACACTAAAGCGGGGGAGCATTTCAAGGGGACGATTGAGCAACCAAAAGCCCCAGAGTGATCATGATGCCGTAGGGGAAAAAGAGAGTGACCTCTGACGGAAATCCATGGACAAGGAGATGCGTTCTTTGTTGGAGAAAGGGACGTGAGAGACTGTCAAAACACCGGAAGGGGTCAAGCCGGTTCCTATGAAGTGGGTTTACGAGATCAAGCGGGACACTCCCGGCAATGTGGAGCGGTACAAGTTCCGGCTGGTGGTGAAAGGCTACCTGCGGAAACAAAGGATTGATTGACTTCGACGAGGTCTACGCCCCGTGCGCAAGCACACCCTGCGTTGCTGCTGGTGGTCACAGAGCGCCACTTGGAGCTGCATCGGCAGAACGTCTAAGAGAAGTGATAATGGGTTAGGCGGCCAAATTGTTGGTTTAGGCCGTGGTTACTAGTTAGTAAGCTAGGCTAGTAGAGCCGTACGATGTTAGGTTCTTACTTGATGTGAGCCGTTTGATGGGTTCTTTTGCTAGTAAAAGTGAGGCTTGAGCTAGACTATATGACTTGAGCTAATATGAAAAGAACCCGACTCATACTAAGAGATGCTCGTTGAGAAAAGAGCGCTTCCTTTGTGAACGCGCTTGTGGAAAAGGGTGGTTAGACCCTAGGTTGTTGCAAGCACGTGTGTATGATTTAAACAGTGTTGAGTTTGATGCGCTACCACTTGGGCGACACTGGCGCCGGTGTAGTCCAAGTGGTAGCGCGTTAAACTTAACAAAATGCGTAGACCGAAGCGGTCGAAGCACATTGACGTAATTCATGACTTTGCACTGGAGCGCATGGCACGCAAGGAGGTCGGAGGTCGGGTCCGCGTTCTGTAGGACGGAGGACTTGAAGGCGGACATTTTGACCTAGGTTGGGAAGTTCAAGAAGTGCAAGAGCGTGTCAAGTCATTGGTGGGGGGGAGAGTGTTGAGATCCAATAGCGTAGGCGCATGGTATCCAAGTCCCCATACTGGAGGTTTAGAAGCACAAATTGGAGATTGCAATTGTAAAACGTTAGCGGTTGATCGACGGTGATTTTTAGGTTGGGTCTCGACTTCTTACAGCCGAATGATATATTATGGTGACCGTCGATATAAAGTAGGTTCGATAGTAGCCGTCGATGTACGGTTCAGAGTGCAAATTTCGGACTTACATAGTGACGCTCTACTGAGCCTACTAGGCTAGTATTGTAGACCTATAGATATTTCACGACTCAAAACACTCCGTATAAATTGTGTGAACTCGTTAGATTCAATATTATTTCCAACAACGCTGTGTTTCAACAACATTCATCTTCGCAATCCGCTCCGCCCCTGGCGGGCCGCGACAAGGATATCGTCCAACCACACAATGAGGTAAACCTGCTCCCCGTCCATTACTCACGAAATGGCGCTGCGTCCGCCAAAGACGCCACGAACTCAAATTTCCCGAGCTCCTCTGTTGGACGCGCGCGCGCACGGCCGTGTTGGGAATTAATGATCGAATGATCAAGTTCACACAATACATATTGAGTGTTCGGAGTCTAGCGGCGCTAAAGCTATGCAGTCTGTGTGCTATGCTAGACTCACTCAAGTAGAGTCACACTCCTAGTCTAGGTCTCCACTGATAGCCTAGTAGGCTTAGTTGACCGCGGATAAGCAAGTCCGAAGATCTCGCGCAAGTCTGAATATCTACGGCTATCATCGAACCTACTCATTACGGCGGTTATCACAATAAGTCATTCGGGTGTAACGCTATAAACCGCGCGCATTTAATCGCCAACCGCTAATTAGTAATTACCGGTTATCGTCGAACTCCCGTCGACGTCACCCAAGAGATTCCGCACACTAAATGCCCGAATCTCAAAACTCCCCCACACACTTACGACTTGCGCAATTCCTATCTCGCTCTTGCACTTCTTGAACTTTCCCGGTACTAACGCCTTGGTCATGATGTCCGCCTTCATGTCCTCCGTCCCGCAGTACGCGAACGCGACCTCCTTGCGTGCCACACGCTCCCGTGCAAAGTGATGAATCACGTCAATGTGCTTCGACCGCTGTGAAGCAATCGGGTGCTTGAGGAGCCGTATTGCCCCTTGGTTGTCGCAGTAGATCAAGACCTCCTCAAAGTCCAACTCCAGGTCTCCCCCGACTTTGCGAAACCGCAGTGCCTTCTTCACCGCTTGCGATGCGCTCATGTACTCCGCCTCTACCGTCGAGGCCGCCACCGTTGGCTGCAGGCTACTCGACCAGCTTACCGCCCCCCCATACATCAGGAAAACGTACCCCGTGTGGACCGCTTTGTGTCCACGTCACCCGCGTAATCCGCGTCGCAATAAGCGATAAGACTCTCTCCACTCCCCCCAAAGTTTACCCCGTCCTCTGCCGTACCCGCTAGGTAGCGCACAACTCCAAGAGCCGCCCGCCACTGCTCCTTCGTCGGCCCCGGCCCCGCCATAAAGCGCGCAAGCGCGCCCACTGCCTGTGCAATGTCGGGCCGAGTGCACACACTCAAGTACAACGGGCTCCCCACGCACTCACTATAGAGAAACCGCTTTGTGTCGAGGGGTTCACCTTCTTTGGTTAATTTGTCCCCCGTTCCGAGAGGACCGAGCGCGCCCGAGCACTCGCTAGTCCGTACCGTCCGACAAGCTCTCCCTTCAGCTTATTCTGTCTACCTTCAAGATGCGCGCCTCCCTATCGCGTGTCAGCTCCATGCCGAGGAGGTATTTCGCCTCCCCCAGGTCGCGCACGTCGAACTTCTCCCCAAAATGCGCCTTTACTTTGCCAATGCGGTCCGCCCCCCGGGCCGCCACTAGAATGTCGTCCACCCACACCACTAGGTAGACCCGCTCCCCGGCTACTATTTCCGTAAAGAGTGCCGCGTCCGCCGTTGACTCAAAGTTCCCGAGCTCCTCCTTCAGGCGCATGTGCCATGCACGCGGCGCCTGGCGCAAACCACAGGGTGCGCTTGACGTGGCAGACCATGTTGGGCCCGCCTTGCTCGTATCCTTGCGGCTGCTGCATGTAGATCTCCTCCTCCAGCTCCCCATTGAGGAACGCTATCTTGACGTCCAGCTGGTTGTAGCTCCAAGTCGCGCTCCGCAAGCAATGCACGCAATGTGGTGTGCTTCCTCACCGGGGCGTAGACTTCCTCAAAGTCAATTCCCTGCTTCTGCAGGTACCTTTTCGCCACCAGCCGGGACTTCCAATGTACCGCTCCACATTTCCGAGAGCGTCCCGCTTTATCTTGTAAACCCACTTCATGGGAACCGGCTTGACCCCTTCCGGTTTTTCGACGAGCTCCCAGGTCCCGTTCTCTAGCATAGACCGCATCTCCTCGTCCATTGAGTTCTGCCATAGTTCACTTTCTTCTCCTACGGCTTCTTGATAGGTTTGCAGTTCCGGTGCTCCCCCGTCCCTTTGGGGTGCTCCCCCGCCTTTGGTTCCGCCGCTAAGTTAGCGCGGTACCACTCCCCCGGTGCGCGTCTTTCGCGCGCGGGGTACCTCTGGGCAGCCGGTGTTTGCATCCCGAGATCCTCCTCAGTCTCTTTCGCTGTGCCTTGGTCTCGCGCACAGTTTCAAACTTGCCCTCATTTTGGCCCGTTTGTGAAAGCGCGCGCGTGGCCGCGTCGCCCTTGCGCAGAGATTCAACTTTTGGCCCCTCATGGGCCTCCGTGTGAACCTGTGCGCCGGACCCTCCGCCGTCTGGGAACCGTCCGTGGGGTCGGAGCCAAGCTCAACAAGCCCATCTTCCCCGATCTGCTCGTCAAAGATGACGTCCCGGGAGATGATTAACTTCCCGTCATGGTCCTAGAGCAACCTGTACGCCTTCGAATCCGGCTCGTACCCACGAACACACATCGCTCGCTCACCGGATCTAGCTTACGCCTCCGCTGTTTGGGAACGTGGCGGAACGCTCGGGCCCCAAAAACCCTCATATGCCCGACATTCGGTTTTCACCGAAGAAAACTTCCCAGGGAGTCCTCCCATGGGCGCTTACGGGCGTTTGGTTCCGGGTGTAGTTGGCCGTCACCACGGCTTCCGCCCACAGTTCTTTGGCCAACCCCGAGTCCTCAAGCATTGCCTAGGTCTTCTCCTCCAGATCCCGATTAAGCCGTTCCGCCGACCCATTCTGCTCGGCGGTATAGGGGGCGGTTTTCTCGTGTACCGTCCCCTTGCCCCCGAAAACGTCTTCAAGGGCCTTGTTGACGTACTTCTTGCCCCGGTCTGTCCGCACCGACTTAAGCTGCTTTCTCGATTGCAACTCCAACCGGTTAATCACGTGCTCGGTGACCTTGGCCACCTCGCTCTTTTGCTTCATGGGGACTACAACCGAGAGTTTGCTGTAGTCGTCCAGGAACATGGCAAAGTACCGGCTTCCCCCTATAGAGGCTACCGGCATTGGCCCGCAGACGTCCATATGGACTAGCTCAAGAGGTTCCGTGCTCACTGGGTCGGATTCCGGGAAGGGGAGCCTAGTTTGCTTCCCATAATGCAGGGCTCACACACCGAAATTATAGGCGCTCTAAACGCACTCGGTTTCACCCCGACCCCTTCTACGAGGTCGCGCTGCACCATTTTCGCCAAGGTTTTGTACCCGGCGTGCCCCAACCGTTGGTGCCACAACTCCGCCGTTTCCGGCTTCTTCACAAGGAAAGACGTGCCCCTCTCAGCCCCTTTACTACATAAACCCCCTCTGCTTTCCGAGCGACAAGGACTACCTCCCGGTCAACCTCAAGCTCACGGTTGCCGTTTTCTTTGAACAGCACTGACGCAACCTCGGTGGCCTTGCTCACCGAGATCAAACTTGCCGCCACCCCCGGGACATATATCACGTTCTGCAGAGTGACTAGACTTTCTCCGGTCGCTGTCGCATACCGCAACTCTACCAAGCCGCTCCCTCTGCCGATAGGGTTCCCTTGTTCCCGAACGTGAATTCTCGGCCACTCCCCTCAAACATTTCGAGGGTCTCAAATAGGCTCTTGTCCCCGGTTAGGTGTTGGGAGCTACCCGAATCGACGAGCCACTCGTCGGTCGACACTCCCTCAATGACGCTGAAAGCCACACCCTTGGGAGGTTTCCCCCCTTTCTTCAGCTCCGGCTTGTGCTCCCGCCTATCCGGCTTGCTGCACTTCCGAGCAATGTGAACAAACTCCCCGCAATTATAGGTCTTGGGCCCTTTGCCCCGGCTCTTATCCTTGCCGTGGACCTTCTCCTTCCCTTTCCGCCTGGCCACATAGGCCACTCCGGAGTCCGACTCACCGCCGCCCTTCTCTTTGGGCGACTTCTCAAATCCCTGCTCATGAACCAAGAGCTTCGGCAGAACCGCATCCACCGAGCTAATGGCGCTTTCCGAAGCCTCTAGGATTGTTCTCAGGGTACTGAACGTCTTGGGCAAATCCCGCAAGCACGCTCCATGCCAACTCATCCGGCTTTATCTCAAAACCGGTGGCGACCAAGTCCCTATACAAGTCCTTTGCCCGACCCACATACATGGTCACGGGCTCACCCGACTTCATCTTGAGAGAATGCAGCTCTTGCCTGAGTTGCATCTTCTTTGCATTGGTTTTGCTCTTGTAAGTCTTCTCAAGGAGATCCCACGCCTCCTTTGCGGTTTTGCACTCCTCAATCGACCCCAAATGGTGGTCCTCAACGTTTAGCCCGATGATGGACAACGCTTTCTTTGATTGAGCAGGGTGCGGCGCTACGGGATTTGTTGAAACTCATGGTAGGGAGTCGTATAGTATAGTTGAGGTACTCGTCATCGGGTCTTATCCTGTCGCCCGGCACCCATGCTCATCACTCATTGATGGCAACCATGCATCCTAAGAGGAACACACGAAGCGCCTCACAAGCGGCTTCCTTCTCTCCACAAACTTCTCTTAGAATGATGTATCACATTGATGGTTTCCACCACCATATGTCTTACGGGTCTCTCCCGTTCGACTCGGCTCACTAGCCTACTAGGCTCACTAGCCTAAGTCACACACTACTAAGCTCACTAGCCTAGCTCACAGTCACACTCAATCTTAGCCTTCGATATACTCATCTACGGCTAACACTGACGGCCGCTCTCAATCGCCTAACCTCCAAACCGCCTAACGGTTAAACCGTCCAACCGCCGTACACGCACGTGGGCGTTCACTAGTCTAAATCTCAACTCGAGCCGAACTCTAACACACAGTAATTCGGCTGACTATAATCACCGAATCTTAACACTCCCACTCAGACGAATTACGTTAAGCCTCTAACTCGTCATGCTCCTTTTGCGGGCTGTCTTCTTCGCCTTTGGCTCCCGCGGCTTCCGTTGCTGCTCCCACATTTGCCCGATACCACTCTTCGGGCTCCCGTCGCACTCTCGCGGAATATTTCCCAACTCCTGGGACTCCACTGCAGGCTTTTCCTTTGCCTGTTCCACATCGGCGGACTTGCTCTCTACCGCCGTCTCTGGGCTCTCCTGCCCTTTCCGATCTCCTCGGACTCCTCCACAACTTCGCGCATCGTTTCCACAATCAGCCCACTTTGGCCTTTTTTTGAACTGTGCCCGCGACACGGCCGCGGTCCGTCGCGGGCGCGTGCGCGTCCCCCTCGCGCGCCGTTTCAAACTTCGCCCCTTTTTCGACCATTTTTGGATTTGTGCGCGGCCCTTCGTCCTCCCCCGCAGAAGTTCCCCTCTCTCGTTCGACGCCCCCATCCTCGTCGTTCGACTCGTCTAGGTCGACCTCCACGACCTTCACCGTCTTTTTCACCACGCGTTCCGCTCTTACCGGCCTCTTTGCCGTGGCGCACACCCGATTCCCCTTGACCAAACCCCTCGCAATGTCCCACGGTCTCAATGTCCCATAGCCTCCACGTTTGACTGCCTCCATACGGACCACGCCGTCCGTCTCGATCTGCGCGGTTCTCCCCTCGAGCACCACTCGTGCTCCCGCGTCGGTCGCCCTTGTCAGAGCGAACAAATTCACCTGTGCCCTCGGAGCGTGCCGGACCTCCCTCAAGGTTACCGTACTCACACCGCTCGGGGTCTTACACTTAAGCTTTACTTCTCCAATGCCCATTGCAATCAAAGACTCACCACAGATCCCCACGATCTTCTCGTCACGCACAAGCTCTCTGTAGCTCGTGAACTGGCTCCGATCGGCCGTGACATGCTGGGTGCTGCCCTAGTCGACAATCCACACCCCTTTGCGCACATCCCCGTCAACCCACGCCGAAAGGCTACTCCGTTTGCATCCCCCGCAAACTCTCTCTCCTCTGCGCGGCCACTTGCGCGCGCACTCTGCCTACACACTACCTCTGTGTGGCCCTCTTGCCGCACTTGCGGCACTCCGCATCGCGCAATCTGCACTCTGCCTTCAT